CAAAGAAAGGAGCACCGAGAAAGAAAGAGAGGCAGAGGGAGAGAAACGAAAATGGAGATGCGCGGGCTGCGAAAAGATTTTGTCGCTAATGGCAATCATTAAACGAGGACAACGGGTTTTCATACGTGCACGGCCGTAGATATGCAGCTTCCTCGAATGGTTGAAGGTGGATGACGCAAAGCGATGAAAAGAGAGGGTGGCGCGGCTGGGATGTATTGGATGAAGGAAGAACGGGACGGAGGAAGGAAGGGGTCGACGGGCTATACTTAAATTGCCTAGGAAGCATCGCTGGCATTCATACGTGGGATAAGCATTGTCATCCCGAGGGATTGTCTCATAGACACCTCACTGGCACATGCTTTATGTCGCGAGAGGGTAGCGGAGAACCGGGTGCAGAGGGTGGTGGTGGTTGGGTGAGACAGGGGCCACGGAGGTAAAGGAGAAGGAGAGGCAGCGGGAGGGAGAGACGGCAGTCGAACCTTTATTAGGTAGATAACCGAGATGCGAGCTGCGTTATATAGATGCCCATCCACGTTGAGCTGCCTCGTTTTATTCACTTCAATGCTTAATGGAATTGAGTTCTTGTAAGCGCTCTCAGCCCCTCCGCCAGTCACCTCGTTCGCCCACCGCCCAACCCGTTGCACCCCTTTGGGGGCGGCGGTGGCGGAGGGAGTCGAAGGGACAGGCAGAGGCGGAGGACATGAGATAATTGGTATTTTGTCTCGCCAAATCCTTTGTATCTCGAGTTTTAATTGACTTCGAGATTTTTCAATACCAATTTGCACCCAACTGCATAGAGAAAGGTCGGGCGTGTGTTGGTGGCCCCTGCCGACTTGTGTGAGTCCGCGGGGTTGACGATGCACGTATTTCCCAGGATCCGGACCGACGGAATGGCGACCATCCGTCGACGGATTTTTTTCCTCCCCCGGAAGAGTCCGGTTTCTCTCTTTTTCTTCCTCTTTTTCCCCTTTTTTTCGCGCTTTAATCGCTTCCTCCCTCTGTTTACCGTTCTCTTATTGGCGCTACGTCATCCTCCCATTCCACGACGCTTCGGCGAGCGCCATCGACGATTTTTTTAAATAGCAGCAGATTTTGATAGCAGTTTTATTCGGCAGATTCTCGGCTATTATACGGCCAGACAATAGCGAGACGCAGCAATACGAATCTCTACGGTCGTACGAATAAATTCCCGAAAACTCTTTAAATAAAATATTCCCTGAAAAATATTCCCCGAAAACTTCTCCTCCGCCCAGAGACCGAAATTATATACCGAGGGAAAAACAGAAAGGAGAATTTAACCCGTTCGATCTTCTTCTTGTTACGAATGGATGGAACTTCTATTAGGGAGTAATCGTCAAGTCGAAACGACGCCGCTCGGTCGACCGCCGATTCGTTCCAAAACGCGGAGGAAGTTTAATCGATTATTTGAAAATCGAAGTAAGGAGACACCGTGGCGTACGCGCCTCCGCGACACAAAAGCACAAACGACTAATGCAGTTCACCGACAGAGGGAAGAAAAGGGAAATAGAGAGCGAGAGCGAGAGCGAGAGAGAGAGAGAGAGAGAGAGGGCGCAGCTTTTATTCGTTCGCATTGCTGAATGTCCTTTGGGAGCGGAGGGCGCAGTAAGTCGAGATTGGGAAAGGGGCACCGCTCGCTCCTTTCGCCGCTGTTGCTTTCCATTCTAATCCAAGTGCCTGTCGTCGAGAGATTTTTTTTCATTGTTCCTCAGATTTCCCACAGGAGAGGAACAGGCAGATTTCAGCCATTCATTGTTTCTGCCGGGCGAAAGGAGGATGCCAATATGCGAATTCTGATTAATTACTCGACAAAATGTGACCCCGGATTAGTCGCACGGCACAGATACGACGCTGATCCACTCGCCTTCGTAATTGTATCACACTGCCAGAGTTGTGACGCGATTATTTTCATTAAACGAAAGATGAAAGTCAGGTAATAAACTTTGCGACCTTCGCTTGAGATAATTACCATCTCGAACATTTCATCGCTAAAAGATACGAAACAGAAAAAACTTTGGTAATTATTTAATTACAAAAAAGAGAAACACCTCTGATTTCGACGATTTGTTAACACATTCTGTATTGCGCCACTCATATCAGAAAAACACAAAGACGTAAAATTTCGTACATCCTTCAATATGTACTGAATAAAATTAAAAACAAAATAATTCAATAATGTACTGAATAAAATTAAAAACAAAATAATTCGATATATAGGTACGATGATATAATGAAGAAAGAAAACAGGTAAATGGACCGAAAGATTTGCATAAAAAGAACGGTAAAGAACGTGTAAATGTGTTGTCAGGATAGATAGAATTATCCTGAGCAATGACGATTTTTGGTTACGGTCATTGTTTCTTGTTAATTCTTAATTCTCTTGTTAATCATCAATAAATATATAATCATCAATAAAAGTTAGTTGTTTTGCTAATTCTCTTGTTAATTATCAATAAAAGTTTTCTGAAAGATACGAGATATTCTCTCTCTCTCTCTCTCTCTCTCTCTCTCTCGGAAACCATTTACAAAAAATACTTAATTATTCTTTAGTTATATATACTTAGTTCTTGTTTACTTTTCTCATTGAAATCCACGCTGTTAATATTTCTTATTAATGACAAACAGTATAGAACTGATTGTTACATCAGAACGTTGTATATTGATTTCGCTACTTCGAAATAAAATTTCACGAATTTCTTGTTTTGATAACAGAGTACGATAAATTTGTACGAGAAGAAAAGTAAAATTATTATTTATTTGTTATTACATGCATGTATTTTTCCCCGTTGCCATTTCCAAAATGAATATATCCTAATTCAGATTGAATTTTAATTTAACCAAAAATACTTTTGTTGGAATAAATGGGTTGGATTAGGTGGTTTTATGTGGTGGGAATGCCACTTCATCGCTCATTCTTTTACTTCAGATACCTAAGTACGCTAGTTACATATATACGTAGGTATAGAGTGTCCGGTAACTGGTGGTATAACGAGGTAGTATAACCGAGATTCTACGTGAAAGAAATAAGTCGAGAAGAAAGAATACAATTTTTTCATTAAAGCCTCCGTTTTCCATAAAATGGAGTTTAGAAAATTTAATACGTTTGAATTCAGTGAACTCCGTACTGTCCAAGGGCGCATAATCAACATAGTTATAGCAGATATTCTGCGGGCAAAAATTTTGAGAAATCAGGAAATTATATACATTTAAGGCTTTAAAATTTGCCTTGGCACACATTTACTTGATAAATTTTCAAACTCGATTTTTTCGAAAACGAAGCATCTTACAAAAAAATTTTACGCTCTTTACTTATTTTCGCACGTATAATGACCTCCTGTTAATTATCATTCCTTTTTTCGTCCGAAAATTAGCTAAGTTGAAGTACACTTGATAAATTTTCAAACTCAATTTTCTCAAAAATGGAAGCTTTAATAAATTCTTTCTTTTTGACTTGTTCTTTTTATGTTCACCTCCTACTCGATTCTACTGTTATTTATGGGACGCCATAAATTAAAATTAGTCTTGAACAAACGTTTCTTTATAGTGACTGTTAGTCTAATACTTTCCATAATTGATCATTCTGGGTTGACATCGGTCATAAATAACTAGTAACTCTCTCTTAAACGTCCTCTCTTAAATAGTTTCTTAAATATTTTACTGCTGAGTTTACTGAAGGCGACACTTCTTAAGTTAAGGTAAATGATCTTTCTTTGCTGTTAACCTGTTCTTCCTCTTTTAAATTACAATTTTATTTGACAAATGATACTTTCTTCATTCAACAATTACAATTCCTCTCTTGAAAAATTAAAATGCTCAAGCTTGTTACTCCGTAGAACCATTAACATATGAACGAGCCATAAGTGAAATGCATTAAATTTAAGATTAAAATCTCAAAGGACAGAACAAACGAAACGGAAATGTCAACGTAACAAGACTGTCAATTCTAAGTAACACAAGAATCATATAGACTTCGTTTCTTCGAGAACAGAAGAAGGAGAATACGCACGATAACGCGAAGCAAAAGATCTAATAAAATCGTAGGTCCTCAAGCTCGTTGACCAAGAATCCTCCGCGTCATCGTCGTGGCAGTCCGGTAGGGATGAACGGGGGTGGGAGCAAGCATAACCAATTATCGCGCGATATCGCGCCGCCGTTGGCGTGCAAAGCAGTACACGAACAGAGGTAGTCAATAACGGGCAGCCTATACGCTATTTGTACTTCATCGTATCGAGGTAATCGATAATAATAATTGCAGCTCGCGGTCTCCGAGGCAGCGGCAACGACAGCAGCAGCAGCAGCAGCAACAGCAGCAGCAGCAGCCCTCCTCGGTTCAGCCACGGTACAGAGGGGTTGCTGCTGCTCCTGGTTTCATCTGCTGGTGCCGTTTAGTGGGGAGAAAGGGTAGAAAACGTAACGCGTGCACCGAAGCAACCTCGACGAATAGCGCGAAGAGGGTCGATTCGTGGGCGCGGCGTACGATACTCGACATCGGTTCCGCCCTCGAAA